CGGAGCTCTGCACTGGTATTGCAGAGGTCAAGAGTTTGAATCCTATTCAAGCCTGAATTTTTCAGGCTTTCTTTTTGCAACTGGGATGAGATTCTTCCATTGAACATTTTTTTATCATACCAACGGTGAGGCAAAACTGAAGTATGTTCAATGCTCCTTCACTTTTCATAAACTGCATGAAAGGAAATAAGGCGGATTGTGCGTGAAGAATGTCTGCTATTGACAAATGAAGAGCCTGCAAATTAAAACAACGAGATGAACATAAGCACACACTAGGGCCATTTATACGAGGAAAAATAAGACGCGTCTTACATAGGACGCGTCTTACATAAGACGCGAACTTTCCGTATAAACGCCACATTTCTTCTAAAATAAGACGCGGCTTAGCTAAGACGCGTCTTATTTTAGAACAGCCCTTAACACCTGTTCTTAGATAAGGCGCGTCTTAGCTAAGACGAGAAAAACTTCGTATAAATGACCTTCGCGTCTTTCATAAGACGCGAACGCATAGTACGCATGCGTTAATTTTTGGCGCGCCACGTTGGATTGCCGTTGCTACGGGCAACATGTACATGAAAACGAGTCAAGAACAGAAATACGACGCGAACCATTTATACGAGCTGTTCTCGTCTTAGATAAGACAAGCTCGTATAAATGGTACAGTTCGCGTCTTATTTAAGACGCGTCTTATTTTTCCTCGTATAAATGGCCCTACTGTAACGTAGGCTGTTGACAAAAGAAGAGCTTGAGCCAACTTCATAAAACTTTACGTCGCACGTCAGTAACAGATATACAGCGCACGATTTAACTCTCATGAAACTCTTGTGGAGGGAGTTATTAACTTACCGAGTTTGTAAGTGGAACTCGCGGTTTGGCAAACTTCGCTAGTAGAGGAACTTTAGGACTCGGGGGCTCATCGGAAGCCACCATCTGTGGGGCAAAAAAGTCAGAACTGGTGTTAGATTCAGATGTTAACTTACTAATTTCTAAATAAAGGACATGTTTTAAGGTAAAGAATATTACACCTTTTTGCAGTTCTAATCGCATTAGTAAGAGTCTAAACGGGAAAGCAAAGAGCCAGGCAAAAACAGCAAAGACTGATATGTCTAAGTCATGTTCGACCGTCTATAACATAGTACTGATGGCTCCAAAGGTCCGTTCTCCGAAGTATCCTGGGGTCTCTTATCCAGTGAGTCTGTCCAAAACTCAGAACTGGCCGGTCGGACCAGCCATTTGGACAATGAGCTTTTCTCGAGAGTTTTTACTAAAAGCCCATCACTGCCGTACATACTGTTCAGGAATAGACTGATTTGGTTGGACAGTCCTGAATAACAGTGAAATTCTCGTTATGCGAAACTTGTCTCACTTCTCAGTAGTGGTATGCGCTCTAAGGTGAAATAAAGCTTTTCCACGGTTTAATAAGCTTTTCGTTCGTCGCTCGCTCGGTCGCTGCGCGACCTCGTTGAAGCTCGCTTCGCTCGCTTTTTCTCACTCACTTCGCTTATGAGAGGTCGACTTGTAGCTAGTCTACGTTGCCGCGCGATTATTGAATGAGTTAGAACCGTAAACAGGTGAATAAAATATTTCCTGCAGCAAAAAAAAAAAGCTGACAACATCATGTCTAGTAACTTGAAATAGCATGCACCGAAGAAATGCTAAAACAGCCCACTTACTGGTTCTTTGTCCAACAATATCAGGAGGAAGTTGTTAACAAAATCCTTTCAAGAAATGAGAAGTCAGATTAAATTATTAAAACGAAGAAATAAACTTCTTTAAAGTCATACGTCCAGTAGCCATAGCAACGCTGATCTTTTCATGTTTAAAGATACCATGTTTTCGCGCAAAAGTTCACCTGGTATTTCATTGGTGTTTAGGGAGTTTTAGGCCCCCCTTCACACATATCAGTTTTTGTTTGAGAACGAATACTTTTCCTCGGTTTGGCCTACTGTCCACACGTATAACGTGAAAACAGTCACCAAAAAACGCATCTTTTTTTCTCCAGAGTTGAGATTTTTGAAAACGCCGGCTTCTCATTTACGTGTGGACGGACGAAAACGGAGTTTTTCCGCTTCGATGATGTCATACATCATATACTTCTAGCATGACGCATACTACGTAAAGGCTGGTTTTCACGCTTATGCGGATTCAGTGAAAATCAAAAATCGAAGTCGTAAGCAGTCATAAGCGCGAAGGAATCGGAGTCCGAAGAATCAGAACGTTTCCATTTCTTCCGACTCCGCTTATGACTCCGTCGCTTACGATCTAGTAAAAACAAAGATTGTCGGACTCGGAAGCAAAAGCGAAGGATAAACCAATCATAATGCACGTTCCCATGCTTTGTGATTGATTTTTGCGACTCCGACGACCCAGTTTTTACTTGATCGTAAACGACGGAGTCGCAAGCGGAATCAAAAGAGTCAGAACGCTGTTTTAACTAGATCGTAAAGTTCTACGCTTCTGATCCCGACTCCGACTCCATCACTAGTGAAAACCAGCCTTTGGGTGATCACATATCTTATTGTCATAGCGACCTTTCCCTTGATTATATATGTTGAACACCCCGGGTACTAAAGGGTTAAAGCCACTAAAATCTAAAAGCACAATTCCGTACTCTTGTCTCTTTTTTCAACTTACAGGGTCAGAAAGTTTGTCAGCTGCTGATAAAAAGACTGCACTGGCTAATAACTCTCGTAGCAAAGATACAAGGCTCCTGAAATAGAATGAAACAGTAGACTCAATTTCTACAAAGAAAACCACGGTCCAACAACAGAGAAATTCACAAAACCAAGAAAAGCAGCTCAGAGCGTAAGGTTACCATTTTTACAGTTAAAAGTTCATGAAACTTTACCTTATGCTGTTGATGTCCTTGTTGATATTTTAGTAAAAATGTTTTTGGTGCCGGTTTGAAAACTGAAAACGCGTTCTTACGGTGCCGTTTTTCGAAACAAATATAATCGGTCATGAAGCATGCATTTAAAAACGCAAAAATGAAACTTTTTAAACCTAAAATACAAGTATTCTCCCTTGTCCGTTCAAATTAAAACTTAAAGATCGATTTCAAGGAAAGAAGAAACGAAATTTTTAGAGAAAAAAACCTCCTGGGGTAAGGATAAGACCTAACAAAAAAATCAACCAAACTTGCTCCAGTTATTGTTTTGCGACACTGCTGCGAAACGAGATGAAAAGCGATTTTGCGCGTCTTAGTTCAATTACCACTTACGAATCAACAACTTAGGTTGTTGGAGGCTGTGAAAAGTTGTTTCAGAAAGTAGAGAGAAGTTCTACTTTTTGCAACAGCGTTTTACAACCTGTAACAATTTGATCTGTTGCAAGACAGGCTTGACTCGTGGATGCCGTGAAAACGCCGGGCGCAAAATATCACCATTCAACTCCTTTTGTAGCAATGCTCCAAAACAAGTTGGATATCCCTTAAGGACCAATTGAAGTTTCTGGGTTACTGACCATCTGCCCCTCCCCTAGGTCGTACTTTTGCCCTAAGTGAGAAGGAAGTGTTAATGCTGACTCAGGGGAGGGATAGGTGGTTAGAAACCCTAATTGAAGTTGCACGTTTTGTTGCCCGTTTTACCGTCGCTTAAGATGGACAAGTACGGAAGTAGTGATGGCTCATAGCAAGACTGCTTTCTTGTAACGTACCTGCATCGCAAGGCATTCGGAGGTAACAGAAAGGGGAGAATGCTCTCTGATAGTTTTCTCAGATACTGAAGTTCCATTGATCGGCTTTGCAGTGCACAGTGCATTCTGGGATTAAATTGTTCTAGAATAGCTGTCTGTAGACTGGTGGAACGTGACAATGTTACTGTACAAGGAAAAAAGATGGTAAGTTGATCACTACAGATTACTTTTATTTTGAATGCTAAATTTTCAATCTTTTGAGTCACATCATTCACGATCAGACCACTAATGTCCTCAATAATAATAGTACGTTTTTGCCTGATACATTGACACTAAAAAAAGACAATACGTTATTTTTTTCATCCTTGCCAACTCTCAAGAAGCTTATTACCGCCCATTTGCTTTGAATTTATTTCCTCCGCCACACTCTGATGAAACTGTTACTAGGGAGGTCTAAAAGTCTTGCCTTCTCACTGACTGCTATCAAGTTAACATTACTTAACGTAACATGAGTGCCCTAAAATTACATGAATTGTACATGTAATCAAATCGATTTCCGGGATGTTAGGCAAATAAACATAAAAAATAAAGAAAGTGAGTATAAATATTAAATATCACTAAATCAACACTCATGATGGTATTTTAAGTAACCTTTTTCCTTGGCTCTAAGGTACGTCTCTAAATGCTTTAATCCTTCTTTCCCCAAATTTTCTGTGACTAGAGTTGGAATGTCGATCTGCAAAGTATTAAAGCAACACCATAAATAAAGAACATTTTCCCCTGTATCAGCATACATGCATTACATTAGCAGTTCAATTTCAATATCTGACAAAAGGGATTTACATTCATGTATTCATACTAAACTGGAGCCATAACCTACTTCACAGTCGTACAGCTACAAGAGTGACTGAATCATTTCTGGTACATTTTTATATATAATACATAATTAACTCGAAAGCACTAATGACCTGACTAATTTTGGATAGAGTCATAAAAATGCACAAGACGTTCCCCATTTCGTTACAATTTTGTCACAATAAATCAAGTTTGATTGCCCTATGTTAAATGCAAAGTCATAGTTTAATAATATATTCAAAACACAAGTCCTGTTGGTATTCAGCTTTTCTATGCTAATAATATACCACAAAAAAATAATAATTGAATCTGATTGGCTGAGACCAATGCAGGTTTTAGTACAAACAGTGCAAAAACAAGGATTTTCTGGGATCTCAACGGTAGCCAATATAAACAGATTCCAATACCCTGTAATTTTGACAGGTAAATGTTTTCATGTATATATTCTTAAGGGTTAATCACAACTTTTCTCCTTCAATTTGGAATTCATTAGCACTCGTATGTTTTTTCAAAAAGCTCAAATTGCAATTTTGATACTTTTTGAAAAAAAATCTTGGGCAAACGAAAAATTCCAAATTGATCTCAAAGTCATTTGATACCTTGACATACACTATTTCATTATTTCATCTCAAAATGAAAGGCTGCTTTACCTTACATATCCTTTTTATAAGCACAGCTGCCATATATCTGATGCTTGTGCGGATTTCATCAATACAAGTTTCACTACAGCTTAATTCCCTAAACAGTGGTAGACAGTGTTTGTTATAAGAAAAGGCAATTATTAATTAAGGTAACAAAGTCATATCAAGTGAAGTTTTGTCTCCCAAAGCCAGAGTCTTGTCACTATAACTAGTTTATAGTTATGTTATGTCACCCAAAATTTTATATTGTGTGTATTTTTCCTATTTTTATAACTGACTAACCTGTACCAATTGTAGATATAGTTCTGAAGAAGACTAAGAAACTGAAAAAAAGTAAAATAAGAAAAATCGTTTATCATTTCATTCATGGATGGCACTGTCAATGCCAACTTACTCTCACATCTAAAAATTACTTATCATACTTTAAAAAATATCACTGAATATTTAATTTCGAAAAAATTGTCTGAGTAAAATCAGACCTCTTGCAAGGCACTGTCCACTGATTCTGGGATGAGGAGATCCTCCCATGGCTAGGATAAGAAATGTAGAGTATGGTAATATTGTTGAAAAGGAACATTAAAAATGTAGCTGGAAATAAGCTTGTGCAAATGGAATATAGGCAAAATACATGTATATTAAGCAATTTGACGTTTGACTTTCAAAGGCTGACTCAAACGCTTGTCTTAAAATTAAAAAAAAATTATGAAAAAAAATCAGTTTTTGAAAAATTATCGGCATACTGATATAGACAGTTCTATGTAGGTGGCTTATAGGATTTTAGGTATCTGCAATTTATTTGGGTCACGCTACAATGTACATCGCACCCCTCAATGAACTACAGCTGTAGGGTGTTCTTTATAGTGTGGTGGAAAATAATTTTGCTTTTTTATAAGGTAGGTCCCAGGTGGTGCAATGACCATAGTTAGGGTAAGCGGATCCCTATTACATTTTTAGGATGCTCATTTAGTCCTTGCTTTCCTTTCTCTTACATAAAAAGGCTGTTCAAGAATGCTGGTTTCACTGCATTGACTGAACAACAATTCAACAAAATTATTAATGTAGCTCCATGGTAACAGGATTGCTTAATATTAAAGGAATATACTGGAACTGAAATACTTTCTGTTTACAAAACTTACCTTGAGCTTTGCCCTTGAAATTTCTGGTCTTATTGTGGGGAAAATAAAGAAAAAGTTCATCTTACTCAGCTTGAGGGCTCAAAATTATTCTTTTCCTTTTATAAACAATTTATTACAATAATTATTATTGGATAAGGTTTTTGTGATCCAGGAACATGATCAAGGTCGAGATAAGTGTTTTCAGCCAAGCAGAAATGGCGCTAGCTGATAACACTTTCCTTACTCTAGATAATAGTTTTAAACTAAATCTACTGATTGATTCATAATACACTGATATAAAAAATAACAACAAACACATAATTGCTGCACTGAACACAGTCTCTTTGTGATATTTCTCTTGGAAATCATACATTTAACTTGATGCACAACCTACAGATTAGTGATTAATTAACAAACTAATCTGTAGATTGTGCTGAAAATTTTCTAAAATTAGCTGTAGGTGGGCCTTTCCTTCCCATAAAAAGAAAGACATTGAGTACAATTTTTAATAACAATAACTATTGGACAACATATAGTACTTAATTGAATTAATTCTCCTTCTACTGTGTCATGCTGTCAGTGGCATGTGATTATTTATAATTATGTTTGTGCAAATAAATGCAATACATCATCTTTACTCCATTCTTAGATGGTTTTCATGTTTTATTTTTTATTATCATTGTTCTACAATACCAGGCTTTATTATTAACCACAAATGAATTATCAAAAGTTGTTGCATATACTGCATGATAGGGTTAAATACGTGTACAAACAAAAGTCACTTTTGTAATACAGAGGAATTGTGTTTGATTCATTTCTTATAATATGGATTTGTTTCACACTGTTGTCCCTGTTGTGGATTGTTTTAAATGGAAAAAAGATACAAAACATAATGTAACAAAATTATCAAGAAATACATTTCTCACCTATGACGTTGACATTTGTGGTTTCCACAAATAGTACATGTCCCTGAAACAACTCTTTGTTGCTGATCAAGATCTTCATTATTCTAGTAAGAAATGAATAAAAATCTAGAATATTTGTTGTATCCTTTCAAATTTTCTTGGTTTGAAGAAATTTGCTTAGAGCAGCTTATTTTTTCATTTTTCTTTGACTTGGATCCACCAAGAAAACTTCTCTGCAAAATACATTTCTGAACTGGAGAAACACTCATTTGAGAAGGAGGAACAGCAGCATCAGAAGACGAAGAAGAAGAAAAAAAAAACACCATGAAGAATTTAAATTAATTTTGAAGACTTGTTTGGTTTACTTACTCTTTTTCGAGGGCCCCAGTGTAATAAAAAAGATGGCAGAACTGAACAACAGCTAAGTAAAGAGAACAAATTTGCTTGGCTAAACAACCCAGTCATAAAAATAATGCTGGCCCAGATCATAGACCTCTTTCATAGTGGTGGCCCATTTATTTTTTCTTTCATGTGAATATAAATGAGCCTTTCTGGTCTGATGTAAAAGATTATATTAATAGTCCTCCATTATGAAAGAAGTCTTTTTGGGTTAATAATATCTGCTACGTGTACGTATAAATTTCATGTCTTGCACATTCCCACACTGTAGCACAAAAAATATCCAGAGAGACACCGAAGCAAAGAAGTGAGAACCAACTTTCATTTAGTAATTTAATTATATACATTGCTAAAAACAATTTTCAATCAAAAAATTTAATAATTACCCGGTAACCTAAAACTACTCCTTTTTCACAATGACCTAACTGTTATTCCTTAAAAGTATTCTTACACATATGTACATTAAATATATAGATAATCTGAGGATCAAGGTAAATAGACATGACCGTTGACTACATAAAACTTAGTCTTCTTCATGTAACTTACCTAAATACAACAAATCCTACTGCAACACCAAAGGCAACAACCCATATTCCAATGAGTAAGGTGGGACAACTAAGAGAAAAGAAAATAACAAGTGTTTAACATATGGATCAGTTTAATATAAGTTCAGCTATCGACCATGTCTTTCAATCTAAATAAATACGTCTAAATTAAAGGAACACTTAGCTAGAGTAGATAGACTAGTGTCTGCTATCACAACTGAACTGAACTGAACTCAGCTGAACTGAACTCAGTTGCACTCAGATTGAACTTCAGAAGATGACCCTTACCTCCCCCATGCCCTTCCTTCCCGCCCCTCCACTCAAGCTGGGGCTGTACAAGACAGCTGTCCTTCACTCATGTAAACATTTGAGAAAGTTATTGACATAAAGTAAAACGAAAATCTTTGTAATATGAACTAAATTTCAGTAATTTTAACAGAAAAACTATCAACATTTTATTCAGTATATTAGAAACCACCCACCGCTTCAATCAAAACTTGAATGAAATCCTTCATGCATCCAAACTTGGATAAATTGTGATTACTCCAAAAGTCCTCTCCCATTCTAACCCAGACTATAACTATAGGAAATGATCATTCCTTCCATTTAAGCTTGTTTGTGACTTAACAGCCCATACTTTCTCAACCCATCCAAACTTGGATTGAGCATGATATCCCCCCGTGCTACCTTCCCATCCTGCCTTGAACTAAGTATGACTGCAAGAGGTCATAAAGTCGCAGCGCTCGGTGCAGACTAACACAGGACCTTACGTGTCGATCGAAATTGATCATCAGAAAGCTAGTCGATAAGTCAATGGTGCTCATCATTTGTTAATCTGTCAGCTTCAAACTGGAAAAAAATGCTTGGTCCAACTTACGTTTAAAAGACAAATATCTTCGTGGATTGTATCGTCAATTTATATTTTACTTTAAGCTTATATGTATGGTATGTACCGGTGCGCGCGGTATAAATATGGACATTTCATTAATTTCAATTTTCAGTTCATGATGAATGAAGAGCTACTATATAGAAAATTTTCTTGGCAATATTTCCGTATAATCCCATACATTAAGAGTTATTTAATTAAGCTATTTGATTGCGCAGATAAAAAATGTAGAATCAAAGAATCATCAATCCAGTTACAGACCGATAGACTCACCTGTAAAACTGAAATGTGAAAATAAATACAAAAAATGCTCCTGAAGCCAGTACAGGTCGAATACTATCAAAATCGCGCCGCTCAAATGTGTTCATTTCTCACAGAAATTAAGATTTGTTGCAGCCATCGTCACTCAGGATCTCGTTGACTTTCTTTCCTCTTTCCTGGTCGTGTAAACTTACAAAAAAAGGTACAAATTCGTGTAGCTTATATGAATGAAAAAAATCTCATCCCAGGCCTGCCCAGTTCCAGACCCCCGCATTCCGAGCATGAGCCACAGGCATACCATGCTAAGACACGCGCTCTTAGTTTGCAAGTTTGCACTGCAGTGAATCTTACTTTGGTGGACACATGGAATATTCTGTAAGCCCTGAATCAGTGACAGTACGATTAACGAATGATTCATTTGGCATAGTACGCGGTCAAAGAACACAAAATAATACTGTTTGTAAGATCCAAGTGTAACATTTTTTCTATTTTTCGTTTTTGCGTAATTTGTTTTTCCTTTGCGTACGCAAATTAGTTTATACTTCTTTTCGTCCTTTTGTTTAGTCTTTTTTTTTGCGTTAATTTAGGTGTTTATTCCTTTCTGTCAGTTTTCGCGCCCTCGTTAGCGTTTCTTTGCTGTTTCATCTTCATTAGCGCCTTTCTAAGTTTCTATAGTTTTATTTTCCGCATGTTCTAGCGTATTTTTCATATATCGTAATTTTGCAGTACAGTTTGGGCAGTTCATTTTTGGTTCGCGCTTAGCGCAGTTCTGTTTTAGTTTCTTGCTAGTCCCTAGCTTCGCGTTATTCGCAGTCCGCTTCAGCAGTTTTCTCTGGCCGAAACAATTTTCAATCCACGCCGTTTGTATGTGCACTCATTAAATCTTCATTCTTATTTGGTTTGTGGCGTTGTCATTAAAAGGCCAAGAGACTTTACGCTTGTTGCAGTTTCACTGTTTATTCAGTATTCAAAGTATAAAACAGTAAAACTCCGCAAAATTGAAAGTATAGTCACACTTACTCCCGAGAACTCGAACTAGTTATAAAGAAAACGAAAAAAGTTCGAGTTAGGAAGCAAATAACTGGAATCTGCAAAATTGCGAAAATTTACAGACGTTTGTATGGTGGGGGGACGCAAGTTTTATCACCCCCTGCTCTCGCCGGGCGCGTGACGTGATGACGACTTGGGCAGATTCAGCCCAGCCATAGGTTCACCTAACCTATACAGTCAGCTCTCTCTAAGACGGACACCTTCCGGACCGGCCATGAATTTCCGTCTCAAAGAGGTGTCCGGCTTATACTATAGAGGGTCGAGGTTAGCCTGCATGCAGGCGCTTGAAAGAAAGAAACAAACAAAGAAAGAACCGGCGAGCGCGAGAGAGAGACACGCGAGGGGGAGGTTCCCTCTCCCCTTGCGTGTCTCCCTCTCGCGCGCACGTTCTTTTTTGCGCCTACTACTTCCAAGCGCCGTGTGCTACGCATTCTAGGTCGAGATAAGGCCGGACACCAGTAATTTTAAAGCTGAATCTATTCGCAATGAATACAGGTCTGTTTAACTTGTACAAAACAGCTAAAACTGGAACATTGTAACAAAAAAGTGGAACTATTTTCTCATTGTGCAATCAAAGGTTCATTACAAGCAAACCATCACGGCTTCGTGGTCTAAAACGAGCACAACATATCAAAAAATTTCAATTTACTATCACGTAGAGCACCTACATTTCCGCTTGCAGGTATACAGAAAGCACTTTCCAATTGTCCGTTGACGGTTTCAAAAGCGACCGTTGTCCGTCTTTAATAGAGGTGTCCGTTTTAAAGAGTGTAAAGTCACAGTAAAATGACTGAAAACGGCAGGGACCAACACCAGGTGTTCGCCTTAGAAAGGTGTCCGTGAAGAGACGGTTGACTGTACCAAGCGTGTGCCCGTAAAACGCCGGGTCGGGGTCGTGGTCTATCTTTTTTTTAAAGAATGCTGTTTTAGGGTTAAGGTTAGGGTTAGGTTAGGGTTATTTAGCCTTAGGGTTAGGGCCATTGTCAGCCCTGACCCTAACCCTAACCCTAAAACAGCATTACAATAAAAAAAAGGGACACTTCAACCCCGACCCCGACCTCGGCCCGGCTTTTTACTGACACCAGTACCAAGTTCTTCTTTTCCCGTGAGTGAGTACTATTGTTAGAAAGCTCCAGCCCGCTCGTCCACTTGGAAGCCTGTTAGGCGCTCAGTTGGTCGCACTTGTTTGTCCTTTTATTTCTCTGCGGTAAGTTGCCGCGCGTTCCTTGAACCTTGTCGTGTAAACGTGAAACGGCTACTGCCAATTAATGGGGGCATACATGACGCACTTACCACAATAGGTGAAGCATACATGACAATTCTAAACAAAAATTCTAAGATGGAGGACAAATCAGAGGTGCGTAAACAGTAAAGTAGTGGAATTGCAGATACTGTAATTCATACGACTTAATGATAAGCGTATTTTATAAAATATTTTATTGTTAAACAATGTGGTAAGCCCAAGCTTAAATTTTTTTCTCTGCACCCTATTAAGACGTCAAGAAAACGGAAGAGGGCGAAAGAAGAAACTTGCGATGTGCATATTCCTGGTATGTTGAGATAAAACAAATATAACTTAAATGTCATGCTACTTTTTCAGTTACTAGTGGGTGAAGTTTGGTTAAAAATAAGCTTGTGGTCTTTGGAACTAGATTCTTTTTTTTTGTTGTTGTTGTTTTTATCTTTGGTAAAACGTCTGTAAAACTCCATACATTTATTATGCATGAATCAATAGTTCATGCTGTTTCTCGCAATGAGTTAATATGAAGAGAGTCAAAATGAGTATGCATAATAAATGTATGGGGCTGTGGGGAAATCTTAAGTTTTCTTTTTTTTGTTGCATGTGCATGATTTGTAATGCAAAGAGTGGAAAAAAGAATTTTAGAATAGCTTCGCTCAAACACCGATACTTTTTATATCGCTACAGTAGTATGCTCGTTCTGATTGGCTGCTAATTGGGCAAGTTTTTTTTAGTAGCCAGGTGTCCAAGGCATACATAATTTGTGTTTAACTTGATAGTGGACATCAATTTCATGGTCAGTTGAGAGCTGTTATACTAGAGGTAATCAAGGATGATGGATCCATGTTCATCACTACCTTATGGAAACGAAAATGAGACAAAAGAAGTCCAGTTTCCCAGCCAAGTTGCCCCTGATAAAATTAATAGGTGCAGTTAATTTGCAGTCGCCCATGATAGCTCGAAAATTTCTGCCTTAGTGCCACAGGAACACCAGATTAGGATGCGTTCTGATGAACGCGAAAAGGGTATCCACCGACCAGTGTCACATGACCATATCACAGGTTCTAGTGTACAACTCATTAAGGTGATGTGTTTTTTTTCCCAACCCCTCCCCATCCCACAAACAACTTTAGACTCATTTATCCAGAATTATTCCCTAGTTTCAACTTTGTATAGGGTGGGGGAGGGAGAACTGCAAGATATTTTCAAAAAGGTTGCACTGTTTTGTGAGGGCAACCAGGAGGTACAGAAACTTTATGACTGCTGCATCACTGTCCCAAGGACTTTTGTCTAGGATTGTAGCTGCATTTGACGAACATCCTGCTTACTGCTAGGACTCAATGTCAACATATGTGCTCATGAACAATGGTGGAAATGTGATAGTGAATCTTAAGCCTGGTGATTAAAATAATGAGAAACATGTATTTTTTAGTCAGCAACACAAGCAGCCCAAAAGAACAAAATCCGAGTCTGACTCCCTACAGGAGTTGAACCTATGACTTTCTGGTGAGACAAGTCCCAACTAGGGAACTCCCAACCAAGTTCCCTGATTGGGACTTGTCTCCCTCTTCCAAATTTGGGATTTTTGTGGGTATTCTTTAAATACCCTAAAATATCCAAAAATGAGAATCTGTTATTTTTTCCTGTGATATTAACATAGGAAAGAAAAGAAAGAAGAAAGGGAAGAGTGCAAAGAGAAAAGAAAAAAGAAGGAGGTTAGCAGAGGCAAGAAAGGTTTGCAAACAGTTATTGGTATTTTATATAATCATACATCTGTTATTTTTACAAGATTTACTGAAGAAAATCACAGACGTAACTAAGGGTAATATTAAATTATTGTTGTAGGTAAAGTCTGTTCTCATGTTTAACCAGTGTAATATTCAACCTACAATCGGCGACAAAATATTATTGTTGAGACATCAATGTACTCAAATTGGGTATAATTTAAACTTTAGAGAACAACAAAATCCACACCCCGCCGCTGCCCCTCCATTCAAAGTTGGGGTGTTTGTTGTTTTCTGTAGGTAGCTCAAACATCAGCACAACATTGCATGGAGGGGATGGGGGAGGAAAAGCTGTATTTCCTCCTTTTGAAGTCAGTATAACATACAAAAAGCCCAGTTTAGGGCGAAGTGTCTCAACTCATTTTGTCGCCGATTGTAGGTTTTAAGGTTTGTAGTCTGTGAATACAGTGGTCTCTCCTGGCTCCTTGCCACTAGAACATCTTGCAAGGAAAAAAATCTTCACCTCAACAAGAGAAATTCCATACTGATGATGTTAATCAATGTTTTTTTTCATTGTTTTCCAGTTATTTTAAATTTGTTCCAATTTAATTTCTTCTGGTCCATTGATGCTAAATGGGAGCGCAAGAAAATAAATTTCAAATTTCACAGGAATTGAGAAAACACACTCAGGTAAAATCGTCATGCGTAAGATTTGATTTTGAGAAATTTGAAGCATTTGAAGTTTGTTTTCTTGGCCTCCCATAAGAACCTTTTCTTTGGAGTTATTTCATAAAACTTATTACATTTATAGCCCTCGAAAAGAGTAAAAAAGAGTGCAATCTGCTTGGTTTTAGTCCACTGAAAGTTGAAATTACTCAAAGAGTAATGGATTTTGTCTTAAACTTTCTTTCAGCAAAAGGTCAATCATGGGCAAGAGGATCTTTTCACAGCTGAAAATAGCCAGCTCCAGCCAACAGTCAACCCTTATACAGAACATCTTTTCCAAGCAGGAAATGTCCATCATGCCCTCTCACCAGTAAAGATCTCAAGCATACCAGAGCTTATTTTATTTGCATTAACACCCGATGATGCAGTTGTCCCTGATTGGTGTGATATCATGAATGTTAGAAGCATACAGAAAGTTGTTATTGTCCTTGTTAGTGGCATTGGAGCTGTAGAATTTAATAAACACCAAGAGCACTTTTCCCAGTGTAACACACTCTTCGAAAAGGTAATCTCTTGCTGACTCTCCTTTATATGACATAGTTTCTTCAAATCTGATCTATACCATAAATGACCTATAAATACCCAGGGCTTCTACAATAATTTAATTTTAGGGGTCCAAGCAGGGTGTTTGATAGATATGAGGCATTACAAAAAAAGAGAGAGGCATTTATTCCTATAACAGTACTGTAACAGCTCAACAAAACTAATATGCTTTCAGCAAAAAAATTGAGAGAGTTTAGAAATAGCAGAATATCCACTCCTTTAATTGATACGTCTAGGCCATCTAGAGATCCATATTGCTCTTTCAAATCCCAACCTCGAGGTCAGAATTCTCACCCTAGGTTATTGTACTGCCGTCATTAGTCTATCCTTACTTTGAACTTAACATTCATGGACAAGATGAAATACACAAACCCTCAGGATAATCAAGCAAGAAACTGAATGAATTGAATGATTTTGCTTCTTTTTGCTATTAAATGTGTAGTATTTTGAAGCAGTTCTTATAGGGGGCGTGTATTAGAAGGGGTGATTATTAGAATGGGGTGTCTAATACATTTTAACAGTGCACGGAGGAGGCGTTTTTTGCCAGCGGGTGTTTATTACATCATTTACAGTAGATATACACTTCTTAATAGTTAAAACTACTATACTAGTGATTTATAATAGGCTGATCAGTAGGGAAAAGGATGTATTATTTAAATTGATGATTTTGCCCTTTAACTAATTTCCAATTATTTTTTCATATGTAAGTTTAGTTCTATAAATTCTTATCAGTAAGGACTGCAAGAGAAATATGTTTCACTTAATTTAGTGGAGATTTAAGCAAAACAAATATGCTAATAATTCTTCCATTGGCTCTTTCTTCCAACAATGTTTTACATAGCTAACTTTGTTCTTGGGACAAAGGGTGGCATAATGGTGAGAGGACTTGACTCCCACCAATGTACCTTGGTCAGAATCCCAGAAGCAACACCACACACTGTATGTGGGCTGAGTTTTCTGCTGGTTCAGTCTAGCCCACACTTGAAGAGATTTTTCTCTGGGTACTCCAGTTTTTCCCTGTAGTGTTAAAGCTGATAATATACAACTACAAGTATATTGAACGGCTTCAAAAACTATGATATAGATGAACTCATTCTTGCAATTACTGTATAATTATTTAGATTTGGGTTATTTTGGTCTAAAAAATTGGACGCTTTATCAGATATAAAGACACTCATTAAACATTGATTTTTTTTGTTTTTTTCTTTATGAATGTTAATAAGATGTGATATATTTTTTATTTATTATATAAAACTGTGATAATGAAGCCATGCCGGGTATGGATTTTGTGTCTCTTCAGTGGACTCCTTTTTTAAAGGGGCTTCCTTGTAAGGAAAGTTTGATAATGCATTTACATTGTTAAACTATCGTTTTCATTCTTTAAGTTCTTTTTTTTTCAGTGTGTGGCAACTTTCGCCTCAGGTCCAGATATTTCCGTACGGCTACCTCCGGAAAGTTTATTATCCGTAGACATTTCAAAACAAGAGAAAAAGAGGAGGAAACAAGCTAAACAGAATGGTAAGAATATTCATATCCAGTGTGAGCAAATATTGCCGCCGACACATTAATTGTGGACAGTGCCTCTTTCAGCCCAAAATATTCTGTATTGACAGCATAAATTTGTCCAGAATCTGGTCAAGAGCTCTTATTGGTTGATTTAGTAACATTTCACTCTGACGGCAGTTGTTTATGATTAACAGACAAAAGACTTAAGGTCACAAAAATCAATTCTACAAAGTGATGAATCTACTAAGAAACACTCCAAATATACTGAAAGCAAATTTTGCTTTTCAAGAACTTTTTCACTTTTGGTGGTGTCAAATTTGCGGCATTATCATATGAGCCATACGGCCCCACGCGTAATTTCCTTGGAAAACCATATGACAAAAAAAAGTCCCGTATGAGGTGCTTACGCGTCAAGTGATAGAGGCAGAAAAACGCGTACGGCCCTGCTAGAAAAGGGCGTACGAAACGAGGCAAATGCTGCCATGAACGCGTTTTCGCTCCGCCAGAAAAATTCAAAAACACAACGGTCATATGATAAAATGCTTATTGACCGAGTTAGGTCGGGTCGGACGTGAAGATATTTGATTCTCAGTCTGGACGCACGGACCTCGTTGCGCTACTGTAGGTCCGTACGTCCAGACCTCGAGCCAAATATTTTCCCGTCTGGCCCTCCCACTCAGTCAATAAGTACATATAACTCAAGGAGAAAAACAAACTTGAAAAATTTTACATTTAGAATCTCATGACTACCAGATATTTATGAAAGTATTGATTTATGTTAGCAGTTAGGAATTTTTGAGCCAAAATGTAGACGTGTATTCACAAAGTATTGCTTTTTTTTTCTGGCATTGCATTAAATTACTATCTTTATTAAACGCAGCTGATACTCCAAAAGGAAGAGAGGATTATATTCTGACAACTGAGGAGATGCAGATGAATGATTACCCTCTCCCTGAAGATGATGATAATCATGCTGATTATAAATCGACACATAATCATGGTATGTAATAAACATTATTATTCTTTTAAAATATTTGTACGTTTCTGTTTGGCTAAAATCGCACGCATATTTAATCATAACCAGCTACCGTCGACCAAATTGGGAAAAATTTAGCCATACGTGAAAAAAAAAAAAAAAAAATTGCCATATTGAACAGTTAACCGAGAAGACCTCTGGACGAGTTTGAGTTGTTTTGGTGAGTGAGTACAAAATGGTGGAACACTTCAAAATGACCTCATCGAATCACAACAACATATTTTATCCAAAAAAACTGTTCTTTTAGGAACCACCAAATAGAGGAAAAGTCAATGACCAAGTTGTAAGCAGCTTTTATTGTCTCTGATAAGTGAATAAGTAATCAAAAATAAACAAACTGAAAATAATTATCGTATATTATTCATTCGAAATATTTCCCCAATTCTGATTGGCCAAAAGCACACGCATAATTCACCATAACCAGTTACTGATGACCAAATTTGGAAGAATTTTGTGTTTAACGAGGAAATGACGTCAAAAATGCAGACTTCTACAGGTTAATGCACCGGTAACCGAGAAGACCTGGGGACGAGGTTGAGTTGTTTTGGTTGTGAACTTGAAAAATGGCGGACATTTCACTCGTTTCAAGAGTAAGAACTAGGCGAAAAAACAGCTAAAAACATGGCAAGAACAGTAAGAAGACAACTCGAAGGGCGACATCTGCTATTTGGAGAATATTTGCGGAGCTGAACAACCTTAAACGTGCACTATCGAAGATGAACTTAACATCGATGGAGGTAAGCATGTTTAGCCATGTTCTTAAACTAAGAATTATTTTAAATGAATAATAAAACAATTATTGAACTCGGCTTTCGTATCATATGAAGAATTATGGAGATCTCGGACAGTGTTATCCGCCTCGGCATACAGCCTCGATGGATAACATCCTCCTCGATCTCCATAATTCTTCGTAAGATGCTCAGCCTCATTCATTAATTGTATAATTAATTGATCAGCCCCTGCAATCAATTCAAACAGACAGAGATAATTGAGAGTGCAATGGTAATTAACATGCTCTTTTTTCAGTGTCGGTTTACTGTCGGTGAGCTGTTGGTATACTGTCGGCCAACTGTCGGCAAAGAGAAAACCAACAGCCGGCCGACAGACTTTTAGGGGAGCTCTTCTTCACTTTTACCCAACAATCTTTCTTGACAGAGACGGTCATTTGCATTGTCAAACAATAAAAGAAAAGCATGGGCTACCATTTTGTTCCTGAGTGCAATCATGCACAGGAAAGCCATACATGTCAATGTTTTCGTTTTTTTCTGCCATATTTGCAGGACCACGATTTGTTGAGAACCAAAAACCATGGAAACGTGACGTGACGGCTTCTCTTCTCTATTAAGAAAATCTCGTAGTCGTAGTCTTCCTCGTTTTAGAATCGAAAGGTCTCTTTCACTGCTCCACCCTACATTAGTCTAATGCAAGGTTACACGCAATGTTTGACGGTATTACCCATTCTTTACACTGATGAAGAGAAGCAAAGTCTCTCTTCTGTAAAGGAAAGAACGCCATCGCGTCGCTAAAACTGTGCAAACGGTTACTAAAAATTATTTGTTTCTAGGTTTCATTTCAACCAAAGCGTACCAGAAATCTACCAGCACTTCAAACGAGTCCTCTTCACACGAGTCGCCAATGTATGCTGTTGACTGTGAGATGGTAGGTAGGCTTCTAAAACACTGCAATATTTACCATTTTTGTAAGGTAACATGTCAAGACACTCGAAGGTCATCTCACCCGAAGTCATGTTGCCCGAACCGCAGAGTTAAATTAAGTTGGATTTGCACTTTCCCGTAATTTTTACGCGCGTAGCCACGTAAATTGTACCCGCGTATATAAAATAGAGCTAATAGAGTGAGTGATTTAGAGTCGCGTTCAAGGCAAACGGCAAAAGTGAATATGTACCACGTGACCAAGTGTTCCCTCAGCTTGTGCTTTACTGTTCATTACTTCTACCCCAAAATTAGTAGCTTCCGGTTAGCTTGGTCTATAACAATTGTTTTGGACTGTCTTAGCTGCACTTATTCTATTTTACGAAATTCTCAACTTGCATCTGATGTCTCTAAATCTCTCTAATGTATGAAGTGCCGCGCGCAAACGTAGAAGTTGAGCGAGGTTCAACTTTACGTTTACGCGCGACCTCTCATACACTATTCTATTTACGCACGTAAAAATAACGCCACGGTGGAAATCCACCTTTAAACGTAGACACGTAGCCTACGTCACGGTGGCGGCGCTTAAAGGAGGAAGAAAAAGCGGGGGTAAAAGCGCGCGAGTGAAAAAAGAAGAGAACTGATTCCTTCCATCCTCCCTTCCATGTCTCCCTCTAACAGTTTTTGTTTGTTTGCTTTTTTTTATAGTGTGAAACAGCAGAGGGATTGGAGCTAACAAGAATCTCAGTCGTCGATGAATCGTTCAATGTAATTTACGACACACTTGTTAAACCTGCCAGGCCAATAATAGACTACAAAACGAAGTAAGTTATCTCAAGCTCCTCGCGATTAATCCAACTCGCTCAAATTATAGTTGACCAGTAGCTGAAAATTAAAGGGGCAACTTTTGAAGCCGTAGTGGCTCGGCAATGGATATGAAGAGCAATGCAAGCCAAGACTTAGGTTTAGATATTTAGGGTTCAGCCTTGAAAACATATGTGTCTGTATATTTAGTGGCTTGTGGAGTGGTTGCCAACCAGGACCCGTTTTGTTGTTTGTTCCAAAGTGGGGCTGTATTCAGTAGTTTAGTCGAATACCAAGAGAAAAAAGCTTTATCCTCTCTTGCGAATACTTATTTATTCAGAAATACTTCACTCCTTTTCACCAGATTTAAGTTATGGGTCCGCAGAGAACGGGTGCCGAGGAAATAAGGCAGCGACTGCAACACAAAGCCAGACAGTTTTTTTTTTCTTAATCGTACTAGTGTTTTTGTGACCTTGCCAGTATGGGTGCACCTGCTAACATGTGACAAGTGATCTGCAGTAAAAGTACAAGTAAACTAAAATGGAAACATTTCCGTAATGTCCTGCGCCCAAAAAAATCTTCTATAATACATTTCGGCAAACGACAAACTCAGGTTGAGAATTTCTCAAAATAAAACATGAAAAGATAAAAACAGTGTAAGACAATTCTTATGGATGGAAAAAACGTGAAACTACTTAATTTTTTGTAGAAGTAAAGAAAAGTTCAAGAAACAGTCACGTGGTACAAATTCACGTTTGCCGTATACGCGACACTAAATCCCTTTATTATCTATAGAAAATTACGCAAGAATAGCAACAACACAAAATCCATCAGTCTTACGGGAAATCCTCTAAGATCTTCAAGTTAAGGGTATAGATACTTGCGTCTCCCCCTTTTTTTGTGAAGGTTTAGTGGCATTACAAAGAAGACACTTGAAAATGTTACTACAACATTAGATGATGTCCAAAAATGTTTAATCGATCTTCTGCCGCATGATGCAATTTTGATCGGACATTCCTTGGAAAATGATCTGCGAGCCTTGAAGGTGAGTTCGTTTCACAGTTTAGTGTCAACTGTTGTCCGGCGTTTTGAAAGAAAATAAAAAACGTGACCATTATTCCACCAAGAAAGGTTTCTCACTTTATACATTCGTTTTGGATTCCTGAAACGCAACTTATGTAAGATGTGTCTAATTTCCCTAGTAACAAAATACCCTTGAAACCTTCAATCTTTAAGGAATTCTTATTTCATCTGTCAAGATATTCTTTGATTGTATACAAATCATTGTATTTCTCTAATATTTACCTTATATTTATTTCTTTCTAGCTGCATCACAGACGTGTGATTGACACCTCAGTCTTATATGACAGTAGTAGTGGTCCTTTATTTAAATCTTCACTCAAATGTCTCACTAAACAGTTTTTGAAGTAAGTGTTCAATCGCGTGCGTACTTTCCACATTTTCCCAAAGGCATCTTAGTAATTTCCAGTTTGTTTAGTGGCAATATTCATTTGTAATCTTTGGCCTGCACTTCTGTGTTTCTTGCGATGTAATTGAAACTTTTTCTATGTAGTAAAAAGATTCAAAATGGATCAGATGGCCATTGTTCAATCGAAGATGCTAAAGCGTGCATGGAGTTGGTTCAACTGAAAATTAAAAATGGTAAATTTGTTTACTTTATCAGATATCTGACTCCGTGCTGTGTGTTACAAGACTCGAAAATCCATCTTTTAGAGCTGGTGTAGTATTATACTACGCTAATTCCCAAAACTATCAGCAAGAACACGCGTAACATTTCCTCACAGCAATGCATACTCATTACCTCACCGCATACTAGTAAGTAATAGGAATGCAACGAGGAGAAACGTTGAAGTTCTCAACGGCCACCAGGAAGTGGGTGAGTTTAGATCGCGAAAATTGACCGTGGTCCCGGAGCACCATCATTAAAAATGACCATTTTTCAGACGGAGTGGCGAATCTTATAGTCAAGGGGCGCAAAGCATTACAACCGCTGCGAGCATGCGCGATCCCGCGAGGAAATACGCAACATTATAAAGAATTCTTGTGACGAGCTAATTAATTATGCAGTGAGAATAGTGGCTCGAATGTGAGTAGTAGAAATGTAGAAGACTAATGCTTGGGTTACATCTCGCCTGATTTGTAGACCTCTGCATTTCTCCAAGTTTAGTTTTTTCATCAGTTGTCGAGTGGACATACCAAGTTTGCTTGAGAGGCCCCGAGGGAAGTTACACCTGGCAAAGCGTTTCATGTTTTGTTAATTCTACTATTTTTTCCTTGCCTTGTTAACGTTATTCCTTGTTTGTTTGTTTTTTAGGTCCAAACTTTGGAAAACCGTCAATGAATAAAGAAGGGTATGCAAACTTAGTTCAAAATATTCACGTACAGATAATTCCATCAGTTATTTGTCAGAAAAAGGAGGCCTGGCCCGTAAACACTTGCTTATCATGAGACAAAGTTCTCTCTGCTTTTTTTTATTCCTTTACGTTTATTTTTATCCCTTGCCAAGCCCTTCTTTGGAGTAAAACCATTTTGGAGTTTTTACAAATAATAAATGTATAAAGAAGGATCTGTTGCCAGTCACAGCAGGGGATGAAGAATACTGTCTCTCTCGTCTCTGGCGCCGCTACAGCGCAGAAAAAAATCGCAAGTGTAAAGGTTGCTTCAAGGGACTAGTAATTGGTGCATTGGCATTTCTTTCGTTTTCTTTAGACAGATGGTGAGAGTAAATACAGGAAATGATGAATACATAACTTAAGTCATTGTTTCTCTTTTTACGTGATATTTATCAACAGGTTATTTGAGAGGATCGCTCGAAAAGGAAGGATAGGTATATTAGACATTTTTCCTATAATTTATATATATATATATATATATATATATATATTATTATTATTATTATTATTATTATTATTATTATTATTATTATTATTATTATTATTATTATTATACATTGTACTCACTAAACTGTCTTATTGGCTAAGATCCTACCGTTAATTTTGGTAATAAGCACAAAGTACAGATTAGTTTCGTGCACGCGCAATGCACGATTTCCACGTGCAATTTCAAACTATGTTCCTTGGTGCGCTGTGTTTGTCGTTATTTTCTTCAGAACAATTTTGATTAGATTCGGCTTCTGTGAAATCCGGTATAATCAAGGACTCGGTAAGTGTTGTAAGTCTTTGACCTCGGTTGACAAAACTTACCTCGATTTTGATTATTCTGAAAGAAAAAGCGCATTCAGTAATTGTTAACTATGCTCAACTGAAATGGAAGTTTTGATCATCATCGTTCACGATGGACCAAACATCTTCATGCGCATCTAAACCTGAAACTGAAAATACGTGAACTTTTTCATTAGATATGATTATCCCTGGATTCTCTCTGGCGAAGGTGTAACGCTGGATACTTCAAGTTTAAAATCACTCTGACGGTGATCCGTTCACCTTACAGTTGACCTGCGTGGCAGCCGTTTCCGCGCGAGTTCGTCGAGTTGGAAAAAGAGCTGAATAGAATCCACCTTTTTAGCTCTCGGCTCTCACAGTTTTCTTGGTTTGACTGTAACTCAGTTGGTATACAGCAAATTACTCCTTCACCGAAGGCCGCACTCTTTATTTATTGCTTTTTGGTTGGTTGTTTCTTTGTTGTTTGGCGTTTGTAATGAAAAAACTATACAAGCAGAAACTCGCTGGCAGGAATCTCCCACCCACGGAGCTTATTTAGTTGTTTTTAGCAAGTGTTTAAGTGTTTTTGGATAAGCTTGTTGCACCAAACAAAGCGTTTACGTGGTAGAAGAATTAAGACTGATTACTCTCCCAAGAGAAGATCCCGAGATCTAATTTTTCAATCTATGCCCAGTGATTTGAGGCAAACCAACTCAACCGACGTCTCATAGCGACTGGAGACTGTCGTTGTGAGTCTTCGTGACCCACGATGACTCAAGATGATTGGAGACTAATCCTATTATCATGATCTTGTACTATTCGTAGGAGCCATGCTTGACTCCCCAGGAGTGTTAAGAAAATTTTGTAGTGGTGCAAGACACGCCGTTTCATGTACTTCAGATCACGAGGTAACGTCGCTGCTTAAAAACTAAATTCCTTTGGGTTAATCATTGTATTTCAAAAGCACCAAAAATATTTGTCCTGGCATGCCACCTTTCATTGGCGGGGATGATGTCACTGAAAACATGCATGTTGACTCCAGACGTTTCTAGTGTAATTGGGTCAAATTAAAAACATATTTCCTTGTTTTACCACGTGAACACGTTTAAGGCATTCAGTCGACCACCCCTATAAGACAGACACCTTTGTAAAACGGACACTCCTATAAGACAGACACCTTTGTAAAACGGACACCTATAAAGTTGGTCCCTGCCTTTCTTGAATCCTTTTATTTGACTCTCTATAAGACGGACACTTAGAGCTGGCCCCAAAAATGTCCGTCTTAAGAGAGAGTTGACTATATATATTTTTACAGTCAGTTTGTAATTAAAAATTGTTTCTCTACTTTTTTGGGGATCAGTCATAAACCCAGTCGGCTCTTTTAACTCGCCTTTTTCAGGAAAAGGAAGACTTCTGTAAAGCGGTTTCACCTGAAGTCACGTCAGCAATATTGCTGTACCAAAACTTTAAAACAGCTGCCATGTTGGGGTCTCAAACCAGTCCTCCTGTGGGAGTTGAACCTTTGTCTTATGTAAAAACCGTCTTTAATTTGTTCTGATAAATTTGCAAAGCTGCTGACCACGTGAATGAAAATGCTCTACAGTCAACTCCCGGTTACTCGAGCCTTAAAGAGAAATCGAATAAAGTTCCAGTTATCGAGGGTTCGAGTCATCGACAGGTTGGAAACCAAAAAAGGAGAATAAGCAAATGGGATGAAGAAGGCCAGTGTAACCAGCTGAAATGTCGATTTAGATTCATTTTATCTACTTTGTTTTGTTTTGTTTCAGTTTTATTAGAAGAAAATTGACCTTACCTGGGGAGTTTTTGAAACTTTTTCGTTTGGTGAAAAATAAAATTGGGTCTGAGCTTTAGCCACAGAAGGCTCTCACATCCAATAAGGTTATAATACCGTATTTCCTTTAATAAGCGCTCTCCCCCTAGGCCGAAATATCAAATAAGCTCCCCCTCGCCCCCTTTGTGTAATGGGCGTCAGTACGCTTGATAACCAATGCCCTCCTCGATTAAACGCACTCCTTTTTAAAAACTCCCATCCTTTGCTCCGAAATTTTCAATGTGCGCCCGAGCGCTTATTCGAAGAAAAACGTTGTTAGAATAATGATCATTTACTTTAATATCGATAGTAGAAATTTGCTTTCTTTTACGGCCATTTTGAACTTTGCGGTCTGCTGGTGCGAGATCTGCAACCAAGAAATCTTCGGAGCCGCTCGTATCTCTTATAATATGTCGCTTCACACTCGGCAAGCGATTGGATGTTCCGAGAGCTTTCCGACTGTCCCAGACCCCCAATATTTCTTGGCTCCAGATCTCGCACCATCTGACCGAAAAATTCGAAATGGTCGCCAAAGAAAACAAAATCCACTCATCGATGAAGTAAGTAATCTTTATCTAATTGTTTTAACTTGATCGGAGGTAAAAGCCCCTATGTGTTAGCACCTGTAGACGCTTATTAGGCCACCAATGACCATTGTTCTTATTTCTAGGTGGTGTCCCAGGCGGTGGAGCTAGTCAAAACCGCAGATCTACTGTGGGCTCATTTACATCAACCTGAAATGTTCCTCAAAGGTCAGCGGCATTATAATTGCAGACGGAACCTTTATTACGTTCTTTAAAACGTATCAGACTGATTCGTGGCTTTAAGAACGAGTTATGCCATTCGCGTAGCGTGCTCGTTTCGGCTCATTGCTTTAAGAACGAGTTATATTTTTTGTGTAGCGTGCTTGTTTTGACTCATCGCTTTTAATAAGAACGACTTATGTGTACCGACGTCCGTGCTTGTTTCGACTCATGGCTTTAAGAACGAGTTCTGTTGCCTGTTAGGCTTGCCATTTTCGACTTAGGGCTTAAAGAACGAGTTATGTTACACGTGCAGTGTGCTTGTTTTGACTCATGGCACGACTAGACTTCCTGAGATTCCATCGGAATCGATGTGTTTCCAATGGATCCGATGGACTCCGTCGGACGACTTTCCAAACCTCCTCTAAGTATTGTTTACACTTCCGGTTTCATCTCATGACTAAACTTCCGGTAACTCTTAGCCTGAGTATCAGGCGTTTCTGGGGAAAAGGGGAAAAATGGAAGCGAAAAAGGAAGAGAGGTGAAGGAAAGAAACGCCTGACACAGATGCTTTTACTGGAGCCTTCCACCCTCACACAGCATGATTCGATACCATCCAATCAAAATCACTTCCGGTCATTGGGTTGTCAGCTTCACGTGTCAAAAAGCTCGCCTAAAATAAATCTCACTTAACGGTCGGGCCGAGCTCCGGTGGTTGTGTTGCTACGATTTCGCTTTTTTCTGAAACCTCCAATGAGGAGTTTTCGAATACTTGTAATGTAAAACCTGCCGTTTATGAGGAGTTATAACAGGGTTTAGGAATTGTGCTAGTGTAAGATCGCCAACGCTCTGTTTGTAAACAAACGTGTGCCCGGAAAATTGTAAATTGCTTTTGTTTACAGGGTTAAATCAGGCGCTTGTCTGGCAGCTAAAAAGCTGGTGTTATCCCTCGTATTCTCGGGTGGTTGAAAGGAGCTGTTAGAATATATAGGAAGGTGCGATAGTGACACAGCTATGCCTAGAAATTATCAAGCGGCAGCAGATTCCACCACTTCACAGAGAGCTCGTGAAAGCTGTTACAAGTTCAAAACAAGTGAGAGCCTATAGCAAAGGTCAATCCCGTTGGCGAAATATGATGGCGCCCGCTTGAGCTTAAGACATTTCAAAAGTGAGAAGATTTTGGAAGAGGAAGCGAACGAATTCCAATCGCGTACGTTATCGTAACCGCAACAAGCAAAGTCAAGCTTTTTAAAAGCATTGGTGCTGTGGTGCTGTCGACTATATCCCCGCGGCTACATGGCTACCTCGCTCTATTTTCATTTACAGTAACAATACCCTTTTAACGGCAGGATGTTGTAAATCTGAACTTAGATATCTGAAACACTGATCTCGTCTTCTTTGTCCCGGTCTTGTGAAACCAATACTTGGACATAGTTTCGGCCGAAGATGGTATATGAGGCTTTTCCTTACTTCGAGTACATGTTTCCTTTAAACTACGAGGCCTTGAAAACACAATTCTTGCTCGGGTTTTATTTTTATTCCAGGAAAGAACTTGAGAGCGCCCTCTAGAGCCTTTTTGAATTCCTCTCTGCGTCTCTGTCTGTAAAAGCATCACATACCGGTAACATGAAATCAAAACATCTATGAAAAATTTCAATGACCGTCTCCTTGCCGATCGCTCTTGCGGTCGGTGACGTCAGGGGGTATTGTATGTTATCCAATCACTGCCACATCCAGATTTTGGATTTGTCACACGATTTGCTGAATGGTTTTGTGTCAGGCCTTCCTTTCTCTTCTCCCCCTCCCCCCTCCCCCATCTAAAATCTCCTCTCCCCTAGCCCCGTAGGAAGGCCTGATACTCAGGCTAGTAACTCTAGTGGAATCTACTGAACTTCCCGTTTCATTTTTCGACTAGACTGCGTCGGACTCCAGGTTTTGTCCACTGGAATCTGGTCGAGAGTATTGGACATAGGTGACTTTTGTCTCTTATTTTCGCAGGGGAAACGTGTAACGATAAGGGAGAAGAAGATCAAAGATGGAAGGTAACTTATTGAAATAAGTCCTTGTTTAGTTTTATAGGCTAGGGGAAAAGAAATGTCTTTATAAAAATGACTGGACTGCTTGTCAAAAAGTGTTAAAGGATTTTTTGGTGGGGAGAGGGGGTGGGAGATGGTTTCCAGGTTATTTTATTTTTTTGAAATATCGGCTTCAAGTGACGGCAGTGTCTTTAACAATTTTGTGTCTCCCTGTAGACCTGTATTCGTAGGCTAATATAGGATATGCAGTTTGGAAACATTTACTTCAAACAGTTGTTAGAACTTTGGTCACGATTGTTCTGAGTTTCCTGACTTAAGCAAAGCACCTTGGGCGTCACATTTGTGAAGTTGTTTTGTTTTTATCAACAGGAAGTGCTAAAGTCGGTAGACTCTAAAATCCTACAAATTCACCAGGCCCTACCGAAAGACACTTTGTTTTTTGTGATGTTTGGTTGCGGGGATTTATCTCTCGTCACAAGGCAAGTTGTTATTTTATGCAATTTTAGATATCGTACATCCTACCTAGCTACTTTAAAATGGAATCTTGAGCCAGTTAGTTATTACAATGTTTAGACGCCGTTCAAGTTGTTTGGTCGCGCGATAATCCTGCTACCAGTTTAATTGTTTGATAGGCATTGGTCAGTTACTAAGTCCAGGAGTGTTCCACTAAGTTTCCCCGACAAAAATCACCTTTCTTAAACCCTGAGGGTTACTGGATAGCAGCAAGGTAACGATAAAGATCTTTATTTTACGTCGGAAATGAACCCGTAATACTGCACATTTGACTGACACAGATGAGGCAGACTTTGTGCTCGTTTTACCTCCTTCTCTCCATCAGTTCTCCTTTTTACTGGTGTTAAAAGCTACTTTTAAAAAGCTACAAGGAAAAGAG